AAGGCTGAAACTCAGCAGCAGGCCAGGGAAGAGCTGAGCGTGTCCTCAAGCCGGGATTCTTCCACTTGTCAACCGGAGGTGGGGGGCACCAGAGTTCAGAGCTGGCTTTTTCCTGAATGCGCCGGGCTGGGCACAGCAGCGCTGATGGCCGGGGCCGGCCTCAGTTCACTGACTGATAACAGGCTTCCTCGGAGCCGGGTTCTTTCCTTATATAGCTGTCACAGACACTGCCCCTCCTCACCCCAGGGAAGGAGGTAGCCCCTTGTCTGAACTGGGATTTCTCTTTAATGAAAAATGTGGGAGATGCCCAGGACCGGAGCAGGCTGGGACCCGCCCAGCATGACTCGGCAGTGTTTTGGGGTTTGGGCCAAGTAACTGGAAGAAAACCCCTTAGCATGTGACCATGTTTACAGTCGCTGGGCCGGGAGCAGCCTAAACACCATGTGACCCCCAGTGCACAGCCTAGGTGCAAGCCCGAGGGAACCCTGTCACTGGTGACAGGATGAGTGCGTCAGGGGGGCCATGTGGCTCAGCTGGGCGGGAGAAATCCCCAGGAACCGGAACGGATGTCTCAGGGAGCGCCAGCCCCTGCCTGTCTCTGGATTCCTTAGGGAGAAGAAAGCACCCATTGTATGGGGTGAATGCCCCTCTATCCGCTAACCAAATGGGGGTGGGGGCACATCCCCGGCAAGGAGAGGGCTCATCTGTCATCTAGGCCGCCCCCCCACCAACAAAGAGCCCACAAGCAGCTGCTCGTCCCCGCTCACACAACGGTCTTCTAGATCGAAAGCACCAGCTCTAGAAGTGTACCCACTGGCCTGCGGGGGGCGGGGAGGGGGTAGGGAAGGGGCCGCTCTCACTGCGGGGCGGTCCCGGGATTCAGGTTCCTCCAGCAGGAAAATGCCCTCCCCCAGGGGCGCAGGAGGCTAACCCGGGGTCCTCCCGGCGGGCCCCCAGTGCCCTCACCCGTCACGTAGATGTCGTTGCCCAGCGCCACGATGCTGTAGCCCCCGCCCAGGTGGTCGGGGAACTCGGCCAGGTAGCGCCACTGGCCCGTCTGCGGGTTGTAGCAGTCGACGGTGACCAACTCGTCGCAGTCCTGGTCGCAGCCGCCCACGAGCACGAGGATCTCGGCGAGGCCGGTGGAGGGGCGCGGGCGCATGCGGGGACAGGGCCCGCGGTCGTGGCGGTCGTAGCGCGCCGCCTGGAAGTCGCGCGCCTCGCGCAGCAGGCGCAGGCAGGGCGGGCAGCGCGCCACCAGCGGCTCAGCCTCGACGTGCGCCAGCAGGTAGAAGCGGCGCACGAAGGGCAGGCGCACGGCCTCGAGCAGCTGCGGCCAGTGCGCGGCGCGGCGCGGCGGATCCGCGCGCACCCAGCGCAGCGCCAGCTGGTAGGCGGCCTCCTCCTTGGGGACGCACAGCCCGTCGTCGCGCAGGTAGCGCAGCAGGCGCGCCAGCGGCAGGCGCTCCAGCTGCTCCGGGCCCAGCTCGCCCACGTGGCGCAGGATGAAGCGCTGCGCCGCGCTCGCCAGCCCCGCGCAGCTGAAGGCCTCGGCGAAGTCCTGCATGTCCAGGCAGTTGGCCAGGTCGAGCTGCTGCTGCAGGAAGGCGCCGCACGCCTCCTTCACCGCCGGGAACTGCAGCAGGTCGGCGGCTCGCAGCAGCGGCTCGGCGTTGTCGCCGCTCACCGCCACGCGGCCCGTGTAGCTGAAGTCGAGCAGCAGCTGCAGCATGTCGGGCGGCACGCCGTGCAGGCGCACCCGCTCCGCGCGGCTCTCGCGCAGCTGCCCCGCGAACATGGCGCGGAAGTAGGGGCTGGCGGCTGCCAGCACGGCGCGGTGCGCGGGGAAGTCGCGCCCGCCCGCCGCCTCCAGCGTCACGTCCAGGAACTTGCGCTCGGCGCGGAGCTGACTCAGGCCGCGCAGCAGGCTCAGCGCGTGCGCGGGGTCCGAGAAGGGCAGCACGGCCAGGGGTGCCGGCCGCTCCATGGCGCCGTCGCTGGGGGCACTGGGGCGCGCCGCGGCCGGGGCCAGCGGGAGGAACGCCGCGCGCGCGGCGCCGCCGCTTTAAGTAGTGCCGGGAGGCGCGGCCTCGGGGGCGGGCCCGGGGGGGGCGGGGCGTCGCTGCCCCCCCCCCCCCCCCCCCGCCCACTTAACCCCTCCGGGCCCGGCGCCGCCGCCCGCCCCGCGCCCCGGGCTGAGTCACCGCCCGCCCGCCCCGCGTCCGCGCCTTTTCGGGGCTGCCGGCGGGCCCCTGCTCGAGTCGGGCGCGCGGGGCGACTAGAGTCCTCTCTCCGTCTGGGCTCGGGGACTCTAGAGTCCGCCCGCGGCCCACCGGGCCCGGCTGCGGAGCGAAAGCCAGCGGGGGCGAGCTCCACGCCCGGAACCGAGCCACCCTTTTCGCGCCAGACTTCCCCACTGCGTCGGCCCGAGCTCCTGGGCGGCTCGCTACAGTGCCCTTTTCTTGTTTTGTTTTGAATTCCACTGGTTCCAAGCTGGGCAGATTTCAGAGGACGGGATTTCCATGATTCAGGACCAAAGCTTGAACAAGTATAAGCTTTTTAGAGTTTTTTTCTTGGCGCATTTTAAGTGACACGGGGCCAGCTGCCAGGAATCCGCTCCACTGTGTTCCTGCAGGAGTTTCAAACTTGACTAACTCGGTCATTAACTTTCGTCAGCGCACAAGGCGCAGTTTTACTTGTCGATCCACACAGACTCGGGCTCCAGAGCTGCCTTGAGAAGGGGCCAGGCCTGCTCAGGCTCGACCCAGGACATCCTGGCCCCCTCTCCTGGAAATGCGAGGCGGAGGGTTAGGATGCGGTGGCAAGAATTCAGAAGAACCCACTATGAGGCTGAACAAAAGGCTCAAGGACCAGAAAATTATAATAATACAAGTAATGTAAATAATTCCGGGGAAAACAGTTTTTCCTATTCCGGGAGAGGGGACAGGAGGGGCCCTGGGACAGTGCCTTTAGCTCAAGGTCAGACAGGGGACTGCCTTAAAAACCAGGGGTGTGAGCGTTCAGGAACATCTCAGTCACTTGTGAGGTGACTGTGAAGAAAGGAATCTTCCTTATTTTGGTTCCAGGAGACACAGTGCCTGCACTTTCAACGTAGCCATGGTTTTTCTTTAAAGTATGCTTTGCCCACTTTAGCCAAGACCTTTATTTCAACTCCAGTCCTTTTTGTTTCTCTGAAGAAACCTGGGTTTTGGTAATTCAATAGCCCCCACCCAGGCCCGCGTGGGCCTTGCAGACATTCCTGGGCGTCACCTCACCCACTCGCCCACGTGTGTCCCCGGGTGGGCCAGGCACACGGGGTGGGGGTGGGGGGCTTTGCTGTCATTTCTTGGTCCCAGCTAAGCCCGTGCAACCTTTGGAGAAGACATCTTGTTTTGATTCCGTCTCTGAAATGCAAACTACAGGCTTTCCCTTGTCCTCATGAACCTCTCATCATCTTGCCATGAGAATGTATCTGGTCCACGTTTCGGCATGGGAAGCGCAGGCCTGAGTAAGAAAACATTCAGGTACCCAGGCAGCTGCCTGTTGCCCATAGATGGACTGTTCACACAGCAGCATTCCTGGGCCCAGGAGCCCCGCCAATAGCTTACTTGCATAGGCTTTGTGACAAGAAAGTCTGAGTAGCCAGGAAGTGGGATGTTTGCAGGGAAAAGTACTCCAGTCCCTCTGGGTCAGAGCACGTCCACCTTGCGGAAAGCAAAGCTTTACTAAATCAAAAATGTTTCGGCAGTGAAGAACAGAGTCCAACTATTTCGTGTAACTATTTAAATAAATCAGCTTTACTGTGAAGGCTTGATGAATGATGATGATGCATATGTTTACTGAAATGGAAAGATATTCACGCTGTCCTGTCGAGCAAAAAATCTGATTATCCGCAGTGTGACCCAGTTTGTTGTCTGTGTTCATGCGCCTACAAAACAATTGTGAAGGTAACATATTCTCCAGGTGGTTAGGTTTGTTTTGTACGGGCTTGCCTGTATTTTCTGTTCTGTGTATTAAGGAAATAATAATACAAGTTTAAAATAAAAAGTTCAGTTTTTGAGAAAAGTATACTAATATCCAGGACCTAAAAGGGGAGCATTTGAAGGCATGGGTACATATCTAAGTCAACAAAGGAATGCAGTCAGAAAATAAAGAAACAGATTTAGCCCCATCAGCTGTGTTTGGAAATTTGAAGAACCTACTAACCCAGGCATGCTATCTGTTCCTTTTTTCACTCATCAACCTTAAGAGTACAAGATGGGAATGTGAGAAATTCATTTACTGAAGTAGGACCATGTGATCGATACAGTCGGCAAACTCTTCAAATGTCATTCCACAGGCAGCCATGGTAGAAACACTAGTGTTTGGTAAGAAAGGTGTTAACTCTGTCAACAACCCATGATTTAGGGGGAAATGTTTGTATTTGAAGATTAAACTTCTGGGGAGAGGGTGGCTGGTGGGCTGGGGGTGGTACGGACAAAAAAAAAGATTAAACTTTAAACCATAAAAGTTTTAAAAATTTACCTCTTCCACAATCAGGAAAGTGGTCTCTGCCTGAGTAACTTCTTTATAATAATGTAATTTAACATGATTTAACAAATAATGGTACCATTTCATTTTAAACATTTATACTCTGCAGTTTTGATCTTGGAATGCTAATTTTAGGCAGATAGGACAAGAGGGCACGGAAATCATTTTACAAAAGCCACTGTTATCCTTTTCTCCCCCCTCTGAGAACATTTAGGAACACAAACTTCAACACTGATACTATCAAAAAGAGATTGTGGCTCCTTTGCTATGGTACACCCTGATTCTGTTTCTGGAGCACCTAAAGTGTGGCTTGTGATGAACTTACTCTACGTAAAATTTCCTTTAAGGAATGCTACAGTATTCAGTATATTTATTAAGTGCATTATTATATGTAAAGGAGACACTCTAGATAAAAACATTTCAACAGTATCTGGCAGAGCGTTAGCTATTAATCTTTATGGTTTACCGGTATGAGCGGTAACACAGCAAATTCATTTGATCTCTGTGCACAAGTTATTTCCCTTGTTTTTTTTTTTTTTTTAAAGATTTTATTTATTTATTTGACAGAGAGAGAGATCACAAGTAGGCAGAGAGGCAGGCAGAGAGAGAGGAGGAAGCAGGCTCCCTGCTAAGCAGAGAGCCCGATGCAGGCCTTGATCCCAGGACCCTGGGACCGTGACCTGAGCTGAAGGCAGAGGCTTTAACCCACTGAGCCACTGAGCCACCCAGGCACCCAGTTATTTCCCTTGTTATACAAAGAATTGACAGTACATGGCTTAAAAATTGTTTATTAATGACTTAAAACTATTCACACATACATATATACATATACATATATGTATTCATACAGTGGTAAAGCTACTAAAAGTTGAAACAAGACTTGAGGGAATTATCATTTCTTTTTCCTCTCCTGGGGACGGAAGTGGAAAAGTCAGAAAATTGCTGCTGGCAATGATCCATATGAACTCCATAGTATTAAAGCTGAGCCACCAACAAGCATTTCTGGAAAAAACAAACCTTTGGTTATGTTCATGCCTGCACTCAAACACTGAGTTATAATGGGAGGCAGAAATCTTTCCTGAATGTTCCCCAAATGAATGTAGTGTGGCCAGTGAGATTTAGAAAGGTGAAGCTATATTTGGTAACCCAATTAAAATAACTACATTCTCAAGTTACTTACTGGGAAACTATGGTATTCTTAGTATTTTAAAACTTGTCACAACCTGTGTGAACGTTGGTTTTTTTCTTCTTTTCCAAAGAACTATAATCATCAGATTTTTTTTTTTAAAGCAGAAAACAAGGAATCACAGACACTGAGAATCTGGCTACTGTGGAGAATGCTCTTGCATTAATCCTTGAATTCCAAATTTGCCCCTTGGAGCCCAGGTGTAGTACAGGACACCTGAGAAATAAACTAGGTAAACCAACTACATTCTCCCACGTGTACATATTATGCTATTGAATCTGGGTCAATTATTGGTATTCTAGTCCTTCCCTGAGTCTAGGGATAAGATGGTACATATAATGTCTAGATCTCCTCCAAATGGTTAAATTTCTAAGGGGAATCAATGGAAGGAGGCCAAGAAGGTCCTCCATGAAAATACTGGAGTGGCGGGCAGGGAAACATGCAGACTACATCAGATAGTACTGGTCACATCTGTGTACTAAGAACTACTGTGTATGAATAACTTATTCGAGAAATATGTATGGTGGGAAGCCTGGGTAGTTCAGGTCATGATCCCAGGGTCCTGGGATGGAGACCCATGTGGGGTTCTCTGCTCAGAGGGGAGCCTGCTTCTCCCCCTACTCTGCCTGTAGCTTCCCTTGCTTGTGCTGTCTCTTTTTCTGTCAAGTAAGTAAATAAAACTAGAAAAAAAAGAAAACTTCTTGAATACCTATCCTGAGCAAGAGTTATCACTGTTACATGACACAACCCAGGTTTGGAATGTTCTTTCCTCACTGTGACTGAGTGGTTCCATTCAATATAGATCCCCGAATTCTAGGATTTTGTCATCAAGTCCATTACTTTTTTTAAAAAATTTTATTTATTTATTTGAGAGAGAGAGAGAGAGAGAGAAATCGCAAGTAAGCAGAGAGGCAGGCAGAGAGAGAGTGGGGAAGCAGGATCTCTGCTGAGCAGGGAGCCCGATGTGGGGCTCAATCTCAGGACCTTGAGATCATGACCTGAGCCCAAGGCAGAGGCTTAACCCACTGAGCCACCCAGGTGCCCCCATCAAGTCCATTATAATAGTGAACAAATTCTTTATTTCACTTTAATGGGAAAGAGACTTAGTATTTACTATGTGAAAAATTACATCATAGTCAACAATGATAAGTTACAAAAAGTCCCTTATTTGGGGGCCCCTGGGTGGCTCAGTGGGTTAAAGCCTCTGCCTTTGGCTCAGGTCATGATCTCAGGGTCCTGGGATGGAGCCCTGCATTGGGCTCCCTGCTCATCCAGGGGCCTGCTTCCCCTCCCCTCTCTCTGCCTGCCTCTCTGCCTACTTGTGATCTTTGTCTGTCAAATAAATAAATAAAAATCTTAAAAAAAAAAAAGTCCCTTATTTGTACTTCACCTCCAATCAATATTCTTTTCAGCATTTACACGTTAAAACTAAGGATCCTTCGTGGTGGTCCTTCTTATTCAGGCAAAACAATCTGCTCCTGGTAATCGGGCCCTGGGCAACGCTGACTGACCTCAGGACATTTGCTCTGGCCACAGCGATCAGGTAACATTCTAAATGCGACTAAATGACCTGAATGTGACCACTCTCTACGAAGCTGTCGGTGACGTTTCCACAGGCCAAGTCCGATGTCGGTCTTCAATCTTACTAACTTTCTAGAGACCCTCGGTTTGTTTCCACATTGGGGAGCCCTCCAATCCGGGAAGGCACTGCTGAAACCACAGTAAACGACCATTTATGGAGAAAGGAACTAGATCAAACTTTTATAAGTTTCGGAAACTGAGGCTCAGAAAAGTACTTCTGAGAGAAACCCAGTTCCTTCGCCAGCAGTTTCCTTCGGAATTGTCTTAATGGAAACGGCAGCAGGCCGCCGGCGAGGGCTTCCCTCCCTCAGGTTCTTCCAATCATCCTTCTGATTTAGCAGGTCCGGGGGTCAGTTTTCTGACTCGAATTTAAAATTTTACGTCCCTCCTCTTCAACGCGGTTCCTTTGTCTTCGGAGCTGCCCAACTTGTACTGAATCACCCGCGGACTTTTCCTCCCGTCGAACGGTTCTCAGAGGTTCGGCCGCCGGGCCTGCTCCGGGGCTTCCGCAGAGCCGACCACCTCCCACCCGGCGGCCAGTCTTCGGCCTTCGGCGCGTGAACTTGGGAACCCCGCAGGCCCAGCGAGTGAACACCGCAAACTCCGTCAAATACCAGTAAAACCAGTCGGTACCAGATCCCTGAACCGCGCTTCCCCTCACCCCGCCGCTGTAACCCCGGGCGGAAAAGGCCGATAATCCAGTGAAAGTAAGAAAACAGGGTGGTCCCAAGATCAGGCAGAGGAGAGAGGGGGAAAAGCGAATGTAAGACCAACATCTTCCAAACCCCGATAACCCCGGCACAGTTTTCAGAAACGCCGATCCTCGACACCCCCACGCGGGTCCTACAGACACCGGGAGGTCCTCGGTCCCGCCGTCCCAGGACCCCCGGGCCAGGAGGAGCCGGCCAGAATACCCCGGCCGCGAAAACAAGCTGGCCCCGCCGGGTCCGAGCCCAGGGGGCGGCCGCGACGTCAGCGCCCGTCGCCCCCGCCGCGGCGACCACGGCCCCACAAAGAGGCACGAACCCCTAAGTCCAAAAGGAGACGGCAGCCGCCACCGCTGCCGCCCTCCTCGACCGAGGCCGTCAGCCCCGCCCCCACCCGCCGCAGCGACCCCCTCCCCTCGCCCCCGCGGAGACCGCGGCGCTACCGCTCGCGCCGCCCCTCCCCCACCGCAGAGCCAGCGCGAGCCTCCGCACCTCCCCCGCTCCGGCAGCCTCTGGTCCCGGAGACACCGCCCCCCCAAACCGGGCAGCCGCCGCGGAGCTCTATGGGGGCTGGAGTCCGCGAGGCGGCCTTTGTGCGCCTCAGAGGCGGAGTTGGGACTACGACTCCCACAATGCTCCGCGTCCACCCCCGCGCTTTCGGCTTCCCGTCGCCCACAGACTACATTTCCCGACAGCCCTCGCGGCTCTCCCGCCCTCCCTCCCGAGACACGAGCCGAACTGGGCGTCAGGTCGGGGAGCGGGTCGGGTTCCCGCTCGCCGCCGCCGCCGCCGCCCCCCGCAGCGACTCTCCCGCCTCTCCCACCGCGCCGGCCGCAGGACCTGAATCGCCAACTCTGCTCGGCCGTGGAGCTGCCGGCCCGGGAGCACTGAGCCCGGGACGCAACGCGCCGAGCCCCCTCATCATCTCCAGCCGCGGCGACCCCTCCCGGGTCCGCCCTCGCTCTGCGCGGCCGCCGGAGCCCCCAGCCCTGAGCGGCTCGGTGGCCCGGCGCCCGCATCCCGGGCCCCTGCACTCCGTAGCCGCCGCCCCCCACCCTGAACATGGACTCCGACTCTTGCGCCGCCGCCTTCCACCCAGAGGTGAGTGAGGGCTGCGTCCCGACCGCCCCTGACCACCCCGACTCCAGTCCTGCGCTCCCCACAGCCGGACCCCCGCCGGCCGAGCGCCGCCCTCCCCTCCCCCAGCCTTCCCTCGTCGCCCCCTTGGGCGCCCAACCCCGCCCCCCACTCGGGCCCGCGCCCCGTCCTCCCTGCCGGCCCTCGCCTCGGCGTCCCTATCGCGGGCGTCCGCGTCTTCACGGCGCCCCTTCCCTCGGGCCGCCGCGCCCACCCCTCCCCGGCCTCGCGTAGCCCGGGGACCCGTCTGCGCCCCCGGCCCCTCCCCGCCGGCTTGGCTTACTCCTTCCCCGCCCCCGGGGACTCAGTCCCAGCCGCCGCCGCCTCGCGTTCCCGCTTCTCTTAGGAGCCCCCTCCCCCTTCCCGGAGGGGCTCGCGGTCCTCCTCGGACGGGGACTCCGCTCCGCGCGCCCCCGCCTGCTCCCTTAATCCCCCGGGCCCGGTAGTCCGCGCCCCGCCCCCTGACTCCCGCGCGGCCCCCGCCCCCTTCGGTGTCGGGGGGCCTCGTCCTGCCGGGTCCCCACCCCCGCAAACACCCGAGTCGAGCCCCCCACCCTCGGCTCGCTCTCCTCCCCCTCCGAGGCCCCCGCCCCCCGGCCGCGGGCTCTTTCGCCCCGCCCCGGCTCCCCCTCCTTCCGGGGATCGGCCCTCGGTTCTCCCGGGCGGCCCCTCCGGCGCCCCCGCCCCGGTGCCGTCTCCCTCCGGAGGCCCGCGGGGCCGGGGTGCGGGTCCAGCCGCAGGCGGGTGGGGGAGGCGGCGCCGGGCGCCTTCGCCCGCCGCGCTGCCGCCTCGGCGGTTCGCGGGGCCCACCAGCTCCGGACCCCGAATCCCGCCCGGCTTCCCGCGTCCCCTCCCCCGCGGGATGGGCCCCGCACCTTCCGGGGCCGAGTGTCGGCGGGGGGCGGCTTCCGCGGAGGGCGGGGAGGGGGCCGCACCGCCATCTGCTTTTCCTAAAGGCGGCGAGGCAGGCGGGGCGGGGGCGGCGCAGGTCCCTCCGCCCCGGGCCCGAGGGCGCCGCCGCCTTGCGCTCGGCGTCCAGGCCCCCGACCCACTTGTGCGTGTTCCCCGCCGAAATAAAAGTTCTCCCCGAGAGTTTGAGGGCCGAGGGCTGCGGCCCTCCCTCTGCGGCCGGAGCGCGGGCGGTCAGTTCTTCCCGGGGGTGGGGGCAGGGTCTCTCCGGCGCAGGAAATGCGGGGGCCGCTCGGAGGCGGGTGCTCCGCCAACCTGCGCGCCCCCCGGGGTCCGTGCGGCCGGGGGTGGGAGGCGGAGGTGGTCGGCTAGAACCTAGCGGAGAAAATAAGAAGTGGGGCCCTTGGAAGGAGAGCTGCGGACAGCACGCCGGGTGCCCGCCGCTTTCTCTGCCTTCGGTCCTGGGAAGGGGCTGGGCTGAGTCCAGCAACCCACCCCCCAGTTTCCTGTCCCGCGTTCGTCCTTGCGGGGTAGTGGGACCCTGGGCCCTGGAAATGGTAGCTGAGCACGTAAGGATGGGGTTGGGGTGGGTGCTGAAGTGCGTAAAGGAGACCTCGGTAAATACGTTAGTCCAATAAGCCCGAATAAAGCAGAATTGTTTTGCTTAGTAGCAAATAAGGGTTCTTTCTCCCAGGGCGGCTCTTCCTCAGAAGAAAAACCCTTCTTGTTGAGGGCGTTTCTAGATTGAGAGGAGACAGGACACAAGCGAAACCCTTCGTATTTCATTTTCAAGGTGCAAGTAAAGCCAGCCTGAGCATTTCTGGTTTATTTTCTGAATCAGAGAACATTTGGGTGCTGAGCCCCTGGATGTTGGGTGCTGCGGCAGGGGAGGGAGAAGCAGGAAGTGCTAGGAGGAGGGGGTCCGCCTGCAGCCCTGGCTGGGGAGGGGTCAGGCGTGAGTGAGCTTTGTAGGATCAGGGGCAGTTGACTTCCGAAATCACTTAAAATACTTTGATTTCAGGGGCGCACGGGTGGCTCAGTGGGTTAAGCAGCTGCCTTCAGCTCAGGTCATGATCCAGGGGTACTGGGATGGAGCTCCCCATTGGGAGCCTGCTTTTCCCTCTCCTTCCACCTGCCCCTCTAACTGGCGCTCTGCCTGCTTGGGCGCTCTCTGTGTTGAGTAAATAAGTCTTTAGAAAGATACCTTGGTTACAGCTGCAGCTGGACTTTGTTTTCAAAATGGAAAATCTGTAGCAAAAAAGTAGTTGTTAGAGCTCCTCATAGGCCTGCAGACCATGATAATGTTGGAAAATGCCAAGGGAGCGCTAAGAAGTAGACTCTTGATCTTGTTTTTATCTCCTGCACGGTTTCCCAGCATGCTCGGCGGAACATCACAATACCCCTCTTTCAGCCTTCTGAGTGCAGTGTTATTTCTTGACCCAAACCTACCTTATCTTGTTTCTGAGAGTGTTTGTAAATGTAGCGGTTTGTTTTTGAGTGCTGACAATAAAAGCTCCATTTGGCTTAGTTTTGTTTCCGGATTCCACCTGCAAGTGCCTCCTCTCACATGCACCCCGTCTTCTCGCCCGCTAACAGGAGTGCTCCCCCAGTTACAAGAGGCGCAGGACTGTGGAGGATTTCAACAAATTCTGCACCTTTGTCTTGGCCTATGCTGGCTACATTCCTTACCCAAAGGAGGTAAATCTTTTGTGCTTCTGCTGGCAGTGAAACCAGTGGCCGGGTGGGGGGGGTCTGGGTGGGGTCGTGTGGGGGGCCGCCAGACAGCTGTCAGGTAGAAGCCTTTCTTGAAAACAGCCCAGCCTGGCAGGTGGTTCTTAAAAGTCTGACGGAACACGCGGGGTTGTCTAGCAAGGATTTACTAAACTTCTGAGTGTTGGTTTGCAGGTGACGCGTATGATGGCCATCTGCCCTGAATCTCCAGGGCTTACTGAGGGCCTGCAGTGGCCGGGCAGTGTATTACAACATCTGGGACGGGTGCTGTTGTCGATCCCCATTTTACAGATGAGGACGCTGGGGCACAGGCCTGGGGTGCCGCTGGGTGGTTAGGGTCCGCACTGTCCTTCCTGGTGAGCCGCTGGCCGGTTGCTACGTGCATCGTATTATAGAATCTTGGGGACTTGTGGCCCAAATCCCATGTTTTAAGGGATTTTTTTTTCCATGCTAGATAATGGGTAGAACTGAGAACCGTTGTTGTCACGGTGCTCAAGCTTGTCTTGTTCAGGGCTAAAAAGAAAGGAATCTGGTATTTCGAAGAGACCAAACCCCGGCACTGGCTTATCTTTTCTGTTTGCTGTGTACGTGGGTAAATGCTTCCTTTGTGCCACGCAGAATGTCGCCACTCTTTGCAAATAAAATGCTGGAATGCTGTGAAGGAACTGTAGGGATTAGCTCACTGCTTTGGGGCAGTAATTACGTAGTTTGATTTTGTAGTATTTGGGATATCTGCAGTTTTTAGAAAGAGTGTCAGGAATTCTCAAAACTAATTTAAATTCGTTTAATTAAAAAAAAAATACACCCCTTGGGAGGGCAAATGGGAGATTTTACAGTCGGGGAAGATAAGGGGGTCGGAGAGGGTATTCTTCGCAGCTTTCTAGAGGGTTAGAGGGCGTCGAATGAGTTCCTGGCGCTGGGACAGGGGCCAAGGGCTCAGCAAAGGAGGGTTTTCCTCCTGGTGGGTTAGCATTCTATCTGGAAGGTTGTGGTAAAGTACTCAGAGCACCCCTTAGAGAGTGGTTCTGATAGCCCTTGTTGGTGGGCTGGGGGCGCGCCCGGGGAAGCGCTGCTGCTTGCCAGGGACTTGGGCACGCCCCTCGACCCCGGCTACCTGTGCTTCTGTCCTTTCAGGAACTCCCTCTGAGGAGCAGCCCCAGCCCTGCCAACAGCACCGCTGGCACCATTGACAGCGACGGCTGGGACGCTGGCTTCACTGACATTGCGTCTGCGGTGCCCCTGCCGGTCTCCGACCGCTGCTTCGGCCACCTGCAGCCCAGCCTCCTGCAGCGGGCCAAGCCCAGTAACTTCCTGCTGGACAGAAAGAAGACAGACAAGCTGAAGAAGAAGAAGAAGAGGAAGCGAAGGGACAGCGACGTGCCCGTGAAGGAGGGGTACATGGGGAGCCTGTTGAAGCTGGAAGCCGCTGACCCCTACGTGGAGACCCCCACGAGTCCTGCCCTGCAGGATATCCCCCAGGCCCCCGGCGAGCCCTGCTCGGGCTGGGACTCCGACACCCCTTCCAGCGGGTCTTGTATCACTGTGTCGCCTGATCAGGTCAAAGAAATAAAAACTGAAGGCAAACGGACTATTGTCCGGCAGGGAAAGCAGGTGGTATTCCGGGACGAGGACAGCACTGGCAATGACGAGGACATCATGGTGGACTCAGGTGAGTGGCCCCTGACGGGCTGCCGTGCCGGGGGCTGGGAGCCCGAAGGGTGGTCCCTTCCCTGGAGGGTGACAGCAGAGTGTGCCCCCCTCTCCTAGGAAGGCGGGTATCTGAAGGTGGACACCGAGATGTTTAGGAAGGGGGTGATTGCGGCCAGAAACAGCTGAGGTTCCGGGACAAGCCTTAAAATATGAAAGTACAGGGACTCCCGGGTGGCTCAGTCGGTTAAGCAGCTGCCTACAGCTCAGGTTATGATCCCAGCATCCTGGGATCGAGTCCCACATCGGGCTCTCTGCTCGGTGGGGAGCCTGCTTCTCCCTCTGCCTCTGCTGCCACTCTGCCTGCTTGTGCTCGCTCGTTCTCTCTGACAAATAAAATCTTAAGCAAAAAAAATGAAAATACATACAGCTTCCCAGTAAACGTCTCACGGCTAGTTCCTGGGGGT